TATATCATGGTGACTCGTTTATATCAAGTCAAATGAAAAATTAATGTAGCATAGATAAATATTCAAACATTGCAACAGTAGAATTTAATATGATGTAGGCAACAATTCTTGCTTGAGAACAGTTTTTCACATGTAAGGGCCAACATGTTTGAGCCCGTGAAATAGTCAATTTTGAATGGTTTTTTTCTTTGCCTTTTTTGTTTGTTCAAATAACAGCACAATGGCCCCATTGTCACATGTAGCCACATGCATTATTTACACTTGCATCAGGAAAAGAGATTTTCTCAGTGTACTTAGCTCAATGTCCATAATAAATTCTCCTATCCAATGTTCCAACCAACACTAACAACCCCTTTATTTTCCTTTTTCCTAAAATTCTAGTTGTTAACCGATTTTTTTTTATGACGATGGTGTCTAGACTAGCTTGCACGTGCATCGTGTATTTCATCGCGCACCTATTACCACGTACCAACATAGATACCATGTAAAACTGCCCACTAAAGCTTGAGAAAATGAAAAGAATCACCTAGTGTTAAGGGATTCTTATTTCATATATCAAATGAAAGACATCGACAAGTTGATTTTTTCGGAAATATAAACTTGAAAAAAAAATCACGAATTAGTTGTTCCAATAGAAGGAAACAAAGGCAAGACAGATAGTTTTTTTGTAATATTATACTACCAATTTGTGTACTCATTTCAAATTGCAATGTTTTTTGGTAAAATTGGCCTATGTAATCTTATAGTACCAATTTGTGTAGTCATTCAGTGAGGTAAAATTGCTGCTTTGTTTTGACTTATTTTTTCAATCAAGAACTTCCCAATGTATCATATACTGTACAATTCACCTTAAAGAAGGAAAACTCAATTTCAATACCTCAACCTTTTCTTTTGTCTGCAATAAAAAACCAAAAACGATTACTTGTAGTGGTTGAAGTATGGGGCTTTATTGTGTACTGAAACTATTTGGACCACATTATGATATGGGCCATTCAAACTTCAATGGCACATTTATAACGCAGATAACAACCTTGTACAAGAATTACTTATCATATTTTTCTCTTCATTGTTTGGATTTATCTTATATTTAACCATAGTGTAAATGCTACCGAATAAGGGTACATGTTGTAGAAGATTATTTGCCTTATTTTTAGGTCAATAGTTTCATTATTTATAGGCGTTACCTTTAATTACCTTTAACTTACCTTCAATAATTGTAGTAGGATGAATAAGATTTTTTCATCCTTAATCAGATATTTGAGATTCAAGCTTTGGTATGAAAAAAATCTTAGTAAGGAGCGCTTCCCATTTAATAGGCTTTATGCTACGTGAATCCGGATTAGTTGAGACTAGGGGTGTTCATAAAAACCCGAAAAATCGAACCAAACCGACCAAAAAACCGATACTTTTTAGGTTTGGTTTGGTTTTGGTTTTGAATTTTAAAAACCGATCAAATTTGGTTTGGTTTTGGTTTTAATCAAAAAATAAACGAATCAAACAGACTATAAAAGTAGCTATTTAAATTTATTATTACACACACACACACACACACACACACACACACATATATATATATATATATATATATATATATATATATATATATTATGGTACATATTAGTCATTTGTATTTTTAGTCTAGTTCTTTGCTATTATATTAATCTAATTCCTTGCCTTTACATTCTAGTTTGATTGGTAGTTTTCTTTTGCTAAGTACAAGAATTTATTTCATGTTAAAAATAATCGATTTTTAATTGAGTACTTAAATTATTCATCACTATTTGATTCAATTATCATCAATATATCTTGGTAAATGATAGATTTCTCAAAGAGCAATTGATTTGATAGTGTTACGTTGAAAAGGTAGTCGCCGGAATATACGTTTGATAGTGTCTCATATTTAAGAAACCAAATGATAAATAATCGGAAAAACCGACAAAAACCGAATCGATAAAAACTCGGCTTAATTGGTTTGGTTTAGTTCGAATATTTGAAAAACCGACTTACTTGGTTTAGTTATTTTTTAGGGAAAAAACCGACCCAAACCGAACCATGAACACCCTTAGTTGAGACTACCATGCGAATACTGGACATCAGGTGAAAAACAAAATAAAAAACTTTAAATTGACCTAATAGTGTAAAGAAAATTATGTTAAGCGTGTATAGAAATTAAACCTTTAACAAAGCAATTGGGCCCCAAAGAATTGAAGAACTAAGATTTTTTTCTTGAGAAGTTTCAACATATTATCCTTTGCTTGATTATTACGTTTTTTACGTTATGTGGTAAGCAATGGAACGAATGGAGGAATCCTAAGTTATAACTGCGTCAAACGCAAGAAGCAGACTTGAAGTGGGGTTTTTTCTTTTTTTTTGGTTTCTCATCCAATGTCCGATATTTGCATTAAGATTCTAAATAATTTAGATTTGCAACCACGTAAAGCCCATTAAAAAGGTAAGCGCTCCCTATCAGAATTTCTCCATTACTGAGACTCGAGCACCAGACCTTTAATTAAGGGTGAAAGAATCTTATCCGTCTCACATTATTATGTTCCATAGCTCATCATATTTATATACATATTTGGTTCAAATGTGTTGGCAATTTGTTTAGGACCATTTCACTTAGCAAATCCTTAAATTCCTTTCACACTCCGAAATTCTTCGATGAGGCATCGAACAGCTTGTCCACTAGAAAGGAATAAGCAATATCTACTGTATTTTAAATATTAAAACAAAAAAAGGAGAAAAAGACCAAGTAGTTATGGTGGCATTTCCACCGTATATTTATCATCTAGATAAAGGTTTTATCTCAATGGAGCAAATTGATGGAATATGACAAGGTATTGAACATAATAAAGAAAAGATGAAAACTATTTGGGAGCAATTTAGCAAATAGATAATGTGGAGTTGAAATTGGAGAAAAAATACACCAAAGATTAAGCACATGAAAAGATTCAGTTGGTGTCCTGTGCCTAAATACAGGTGCCCTTTTCTATATATCTTTTTTTTTTGGGCATTCGAATATTAGTATGATTAATTTGAGTTTGCGTCAGATAGGCCCATTAAGAGTAGGGGTGTCAATGGATATTTAAAAACCGACTAAATCGATCGAATCGCACCGTTCCGAACCGATTTTTAGGTTTCTCTAAATAAAATAGTAGGTTTTTATATAAATCTATAACTGTACCGATAATTAGGGTAGGTTTATTATTTTATGAAAATAAATCGAAAAAGTACCGAACCGTACCGAATAAATTTACATGTGAAAAATATATTTATATTTTAAGTTTTAATTTTTTTCTTGGGCCTTGGAATTATGAAAACAGATACAAGCCAACAAGTAATTAAACTCAAAATCCTAATTTCCAAACCTATAATGCTACTCCTATTGAAACTAAATTTTTTTCAACATATTCACTAATAAGACACAAGGTATTGTAGCGATTATGAGCAGCAAACTACAATATATTGAATACGTTTACTTTCGTATGATTTATATTTATCTTTTTGAATACTTAATCTTCTATAGACTTTATTCTTAAGTCTCACCTTGGTTAATATCTTTCCACTCGTGTGATTTATATTTTTTTGTATTTGCTTAGGGTTTTTTACGTTGTTATAGAATAGTTGATGGATCTGTATACTCTGGCGATCTTTCATATTTTCTTAATTCATCATCCTTTAAACTGTAAAAATGTATAGAGAGTTTTGCTAAGTCGTATAAATATACGTATGTTATTGTATTCTAGTTCTACTAGTGATTTTTACATGACATTTTAAAAAAATACTGAAAATTAACCGAACCGTACCGATACCGAAGAAAAACCTACATGATTGTACATAATAGAGTAACCGAAAAATTGGTATGGTACAAATTTTATAAAATAACTGGCCAAACCGAACCATTGACACCCCTAATTAAGAGGATAAAGCGCTTCCTATCAAGAAGTTCTACATTTACGGGCCTTGAACTCGATACCTCTAATTAAGGACGAAGAAATTTTCCACCAGATCCTTGGGTATGATACAGTTATGTCACACGGATATAGCACATGAGAGTGGGCTATACATTTGAATGGTCCCCTCTAAATCCCCAACCTCTCATGCAACTATTTCCAATTTGTGAAATTGAATGGCCATAGCCCATAAGAAATGGCCAACATGGACTTTATTGCAAGAGAGGAACTTTACTGCAAGAGGAGCTTTCTTTGGCCCAGATAATGATTGCTGTGTAGTTATTCTTGACAAAACTCAAACCATCATAAGAGAAGTGGAAAGGTTGAATATTGGAGTTGGACCTAGCAGCAAAAGTTGCAAAAAGGCAGCATTTTCACTGTTGAACATGATGGTCTTTTAGTAGAAAACTTCAGAGCTAATAAAAAACACAATATAACAAGAAAGTGGATCATGAGTTTCCCACAAATAATGATGGTAAGTCATACAAGAAGAGCGCACATTTATTGTTGTTGTAACAGTGGTTTCAAGCCAGCTTGAAGGACGCACATTTCTTGTTGTTTTAAGAGTGGTGTCAAGCCCAAGCCAGCTTATACGTACCTCCACTAATGAATCGCGTGAAGCTGGATCATACAATCTCACACTGTACCATGAGGTTCCCACAAATAATGATTGTAAGTCATACAAGAAGAGCGCACATTTCTTGTTGTTTTAAGAGTGGTGTCAAGCCAGCTTGTACGTAACTCTACTAATGAATCGTGCAAAGCTGGAACATACAATCTCACACTGAGTGTTAAACTGAAATTCAAACCAAAAATCACTATGTAATCATTTCACTCCTAGCTCACACTGAATGTTAAAAGCTTTCAGTCACCTTGCATCAATGCTATGCAACCATCATTAAATGCAACTTTGTATATGGAAAAGACAATCAATCAGCCAACTGAAACTGCATAACCACAATCCAGGTGGAATTCTAACCAGAGTTTCATGGCAAAAATTGTCAACCATGAAAGACTTAAATTTTACAGCTTCAGGTAATCATGCACTTGATGCACAAAAGATAAGTCAATTGATGCCTACAACTTGCAAGTCACAATTTTCACCACATTAGGTATACAAATTCTGATACAATGATCAAGACCAGTTTTAAAACTTACAACAAAACATGCAATTTGTTTGATGCCCTTTAAGTGCAAATAAAATTTCCTCTACATTACATTTTACAACATGATTAAGCCACTAAACATTCTGATTCAATAAACAGGATTAGCTTTAGGAGACCCACGGCCGAAGGCCATGGAAATCGGCCTGCAATTATATACAAAATTCCATTGTTACTTCTTCCCGGAACTTGTTGCTTTTGAAGATCCCACCACTGCATGATCAACTGACCCAATAAATAGCTGTGACGAAAATGTATTAGTTTTTCTTAATTTCCCTGAAAATTCCTTTCCCGAATTACCCTTCAAAGAAAGATTCTTCCTAAACCGGTTCTTGTTTAGTGAGAGCATAGTGCTCCGAGATGGTGCTTGCAAGGCCCCTTCAACACAATCTCCAGAATAAGCACAGCCCCAAGGCTTGGATGGTCCGTCTTCATTGAACGTTTTAAGCCTAGGAAAGAACTTGGAAAAAGGTCGCTGATCCGGAGAACTACCATCTTCGAGCTTGGCGCAGATGGGACACGGAGGATCACTTTTACATGATTTTGGTGTAGTTTGCTCCAAACATTCAGCATGAAATACATGGAGACATGAAAGAACCCCAGCAACTGGCATATCTCCACTTCTCACAATTCGTCGGGAACTCCAAGGCGACCTCTGCGAGAGAAACCTCTCGCATAACCCACATCTGAAGCCATCTGAAGGGTTACAAGGTTTACATAGGAATTCAGATTGAAAGGATTCAGAAGCCTCTGTCAGGTCAAGACTGCCACTAGCACTGCTCAAGCGGTGTTTATCTCTTTGTGGTGTTGAGGTATCAAGTTCTAAAAAACCAGGTGAGAGGCTGTCAATAGCTTCTCTTCTAGGTGTTTCAGTTGGAAATGACAGAGGATGTATGGGTTTAGACATAAAGAAACGACGACTTGGGAAGCTACGATGAGACGAATGGGACTTGGTGATTGAATCACAATCACTATTGTCAGATCGGGATGAAGTTGAACCTCCACCATCCCTAGCAGTTGATGTTCCCTATAAAGAAATTCATTGTCATAAGAAAGCTGTATTTAAACTAACAAACATCAAAAGAATGCAGATAGTGGAGAACAGCAAATGCATACCTCCATTGTGGGTGAAAATGAAAATGGCCTCAAGATTGCATCTAACAAGAAAAAAAAAAAGAAGCAAAATTAGCAGTAGAAATGAAATATCCAGAATGGTGGCATCCGTAAAAGAGCATTGGCTGACCAATAGGCCAAATGTTTCAGAAGCAGTAACAGAATTAATTCTTTAAGCACATTAACTTGCTATCTTATCTCTACAGCACTCAATGTGAAATTAGACATCGTAAAAAGGAGCATGGTCAACCATAGAGTTTCAGTCCATATTATTACATTTTAATGAAAAACTAAATCAATATCATGTTAAGATAGACTGGCTTTTCTATCCTATATGATGTTGGTAACTGTCCTTTTATAGAAATAATCAAGAACCACAGCTTCCAGCTTCAAAACTCAGTGGATAATGAGTCCTCCTCTATCTACCTTAAAAACAAAACTTAGTTACATTCCTTAGCAGGGTTCGAACTCGTGATGTCGCCTACCACACATCTTGTGTTGCAATGCATTGCCCTTGAACCAAAGCCCTGGGGGCATTGGTAAGCGTATTAAGACTTGTGAAATAGATCTAATATGTTACTTAGAGTTTTTCTTTTCTTTGAGATAAGTATATGGGTGTGTTTGGTACGAAGGAAAACATTTTCCGGAAAATGTTTTCAACTTTCCCATGTTTGGTTGGCTTAAATGTTTAAATGTTTTGGAAAACATTTTCCTCAAGAACTCATTTTCCTTCAATTGGAGGAAAATGTTTTCCCCATCAAGAGAAGGGAAAACATTTTACAAAACTCTTTTTCAACAAACCACAACAGACCTATTTCTTCTAAACTACAACCTCATTTT